TTTTGGTTGTATTTGCAACCTTCTGCAAGGAGTACTATTAGCCACAAATGCATGCTTTGTGGAGGCCAGCCCTCCCCGGTCCCACTTGGCTTCTTTTGCACTGATTCCCCCAGTCATGTTACTGAAAGGCCCAGCCTGCCTTCAGTTCCCAGAATAATCTGTCTTTGAAGTAGTACTGAAGCAGATTTCAGTTTTCACATAATAGCTCCGTATCAGCTAGGTCCACTTCGGTCTCCCTCTCTGGCTTCTTTTCTAGGAAACATTCTTGTCCTTTGCGCCTTGTGGGAGGATGGGAACCTGCCTTGTTCTTGCCAACTGGGATGGGAACTGTGCCCTTGAGCCTCGGCCCAGTCACTTCTTTGTGTATTTGGAGAAAAGGATTGCAGGGAGGCTTTATTTTCATCTCTTACAGTGAGAGGACACTTGGTCAGATCCACTTTGGCAGCCAGAATTCTTTTTTTTTTGGTTTCTGTGGGGAGAAGGCTCTCACTGGGTCTCAAAAGGAGAAGGGGTTTAATTACTAACATGACCCCAACAGTCCCAGACTCTGCTTTGTGGCTTCTCTTTCACTGTATGATTTGCATAGATTTACTGGAAAACACAAAGATTTCCAGGAACTGCTAACAAGCCAGGCTCATTTATGTTTCCTAGTAGGTAATGGATTCTATTTTCTTGTTCAGTTAAAATTAGTCTGTAAAAGTACTGGGCTTGATAATGACAAACTGATGTTAATTTAAGACAAGCACTGGGAAAATGAGATTTTTATTGTGTTGAAACCTTAGGACAATGGAGCCAAACCTACAGAATGGAAAAATAAAGAGATATAGAAAAATCCTTCCAAATCCAAGATTTCATTTAGAATTTTCCAGACAGCTAAAAATAACTATGCAAGCCAGGATCTATATTGTTTTATTTAATTAAAGACTGTGAAAACAATTTCACTTAAATCTCAGAAATTGGTTTGTTAATCACCATTCCTGGGTAAATGAAGAAAAAGTGAGGAAAGGAGGTTGTGATGCGTAGGCATCTATTCAAGTTCTCTGCGATCACACATTTACATGCTAGCCTGAGGAAGAAAGCTTATAGTATAGTGGAGTCATTTATTCAGTAAACATATATTGAGCAACTACTATGTATCAAGGGTTATGACAGAGGTTGGGGATATAGGAATAAAAAGATACAGAGGGGCTCATGGCATAGGGTGGAAAATTAGTGTGTATACTAGGATTTCATGGGACAATGAGAATGTAATAAAAGCGTCCAAGAAAATCTGAGCAAACCAGGGATGGTGCTACAAGGTCTAAGGTGATCCTTGAACTGAGGTTTGAGGGTGAATAGGTGTTTGCTAGAGGGACAAGGTAAGAGGTGTTGGAAAGGGAGGAAGCACGCTAGAGGGAGAAACCAGCACATGCAAAGGTGTGCATGCATAAGAAAGCATGGCAGGTGTGAGGCCCAGCTTAAATATGAGACCGGAGATGCAGAGGAAACACAGACTGGGCAGTCCTACCTATTTCTGTTATGGGAATAGATGTGATGTGGGTATAAGCTGGTGCTGGATGATGAGGCTGAGCAGGGAGACAGGGATCAGACCATGAACAGCTTTGACACCCTGCAAGTTTTGCCAACTAATAGGTCATTGGGCCTCAAAGCACTTTAATCGTCATGGGTTATAATAGGGAGGATCTGCTTTGCTTTATTCCATCATAATCAGGCTTCTCTTGAATCCCCACAATTTCCAGTCAGAGCACTTTGGGGCAACGTTTCTGACCCTCTTCCTGTTCATCCTCCAGAATGAGGCAAATGAGAAGACCAGAGTGTTTATAAAAAGGCTTAAAAGCATTATTATTATTATTATTTTAAAAGATTTTATTGGGGAATTGGGGGAGGGGAACAGCGCTGGGGAATCGGGGGAAGGGGAACAGACAAGTTGCTGTCCTTTTGTTGTTCAGTCTAGTTGTGGAGGACGTTGCTTCACTGGCCCATGTTGGTATTATCA